ATTTGGCTGAACCTCATCCCTCAGACTCCAGCTTCAAGAATGTGTTTTCATGCCCGGCCTTTGTTCCTCCATAAATGTGTCCTTTAGTTTCAAACAGATCTTTATAGTTTGTGCTTCATAAGCCAATTCTTATTATTATTTTGGGGGACTCTTCTTCAGAGAGCTTGCCAATGAAGATTTACAGACAAAGCAGGAGCCTATTCCAGGAGTTCAAAGCCTTGGCTGTGGACAAAACAATCTTAAGTTGAGCAGCTTTCCTCAACACGAAAAAGTGAATGGTCACTGCACCACAACTAGGACTTTATCAGAAACTCAAAGCTTGGGGGATAAAAAGGAGCAAGAGATTACTGTAACAAACTTCGTACAGAGTTCGGTCTATTAATTGTTTCATGTTAGATATTCTATGTGTTTACCTCAATTGAAAAAAAAAGAATGTTTTTGCTAGTATCAGATCTGCTGTGGAATTGGTATTGTATGTCCATGAATTCTTCCTTTCTCAGCACGTGTTCCTCACTAGAAGAAAATGCTGTTACCTTTAAGCTTTGTCAAATTTACATTAAAATACTTGTATGAGGACTGTGACGTTATGTTAAAAAAAAAAAGGTGTTAAGTCACAAAATGCGGTAATAAATATTTCATTTTTGATTTTTTGTTAGGCTTTTGTGTTCTTAATAGTTTTAAGGCAAGGTCACAAAATGCTGACTGTGTGTGGTGTTAAAAGTAGGTGATGGTTTTCCCCCAAGAAGCTGAGTATATTTGAAACTTAACTTACCAACAATTTTTAAGGAAACTGTCTATAGCCTTTCAATGTATATTTGGCCTATACATTCTACCAGCAGGAAACTTCTAAAGGTACGAAATTGTCTGTGTGTTATGAGCCAGGTTGAAAGCTCACCTTCAACATGCCCAACCTCCTTTTCGGATGCATGATGTTGAAAAAAAATACTTTCAGATAAAGCTTTTCATGTTCAGCGTCTGCCAGAATAAAGGGCTTCTTCAGGGTTAATTTTACATCATAAGAAATAACTAACGTCTGTGCTCAAGATAATTCATCTGCCTGTGTTTTTTCTGTGTTACTGACTAAAATACTGTTGAATATGTAAATTAAGATTTACATATAGATGTTCATAGATGAGTAAACAACTTCTATGGAGTTCAAAATCCTGAGTTGAAAAGATTAATCATTAATATTTAATATAAATTATATTATGATGTCTTTTTATTTCATACACCTCCATGTGTAGGCATGCTAGTGTGACAATTTGGTGACTAAATTTAAATTTTTTTCAAAACAACAACAAAACAGGCAATATAATGACATTTTCAAAATTTCATGCAACATTCTTGGAAATCTGTGTCATTAGGTAACTGATACTGTACAATGCCTGCTAAAGTGTGCAAAGTAAAAAAAAAGTATGAGATATTTGCATGCCCCTCAATTTTTCAAATAACTGTATTCTCCTGGAATTTTGTAATAACTAAATTTTGAATCCTATGTTTAGAAAGGATACTATCATAAACTTTAGCTGGTTGTTTGATATCAACTTGACAGGCAAATAGTTCATTATCTCTGCAAACTTGGAGGAGATCCATAATTGTATCTTATTTGGGGTTCTTCCATCTTTCCATCACAGACAGCACTAATAGAAGTTATATATAAATGAACAAGGAAAGAAACTTCCATTGTTTGAGTTATATTTAGCTAGGTAGGATTTTTATAAATATGTTTATCCATTTAGTTCACGTGCTGCTGTTTAAACATAGAAATAACACCTCACAAAAAGTTAACCGTTAATGGAGAAATTCTGTGCCACGTGGAAAAGAGAGAGCTGCCCTCTCATTTGTGTTATACCATTTCACCTGGAGGGGTGTTTTTCTTTGCAAAATTTAAATATTTGTATATTTCTAGTTTAGGTAAACTTTGACAAGTTCTCCAATTATAAATTAACTCTCACATCAGCTGAAAAAAGTTTTTGGCAAAGTTGTTCTTCTTTTCCTCTCAGTAAAGTAGATGCTGCAGGGTTTTCTTGGTGATTAGCTCCTGTTTAGGAAGTGTTTAAAGAAATTACTATTTATTTCACCAGAGTTTAGATTCTAGAGCTCTCTACCTTTGGGTTTAATGAATAAAATCATCTCAGGCTTAGTTTCTTCAACAAACCCACATCCTATCATGTTAACCGCAACCCTCTGAAATATTTGGAGATGAGTAATAATTGTAATAATATTTGTTTACATTTCCTTGCTCACCCCCGCCCCACATGCTAAGAAAGAGAGGTGGTAGAGTTGTCCAATTTTTATAACTCTTTTTTTATACCACCTCAGAAGGCACTTGCTCCTATCTCGGGTTTACTATTTAGTATAAAGAGTTCCGATTTGGGTATATTTAAGAAAGACTCAGCTGTCAAAAGCAAAGAAACTGGGAATGGTGTTTTGACAACCATATAGTGTTAAAGGAAATACTGTAGTCTGAATAAAATTGCTTATGTTCTCCAAAACAAGAGTAATATAAAAACACTTTTTATTTATATGGAAAAGCAAAAGCAGAAATAAATTCCAAAGGTTTCCCTTTCTTTAAGAAATTCTGAGAGAACTGCAGTCGCCATCTGTTAAGGGTTGGGAATTGAGCAAGAAGCCACATTTTGAAGGAGAAAAAGAGAGAAAAGACCAGGAAAGTCTGTATCTTCCATCCACCCCTTCTCTCTTCCAGCCCCTCCCCCAGTTCGGTTCCCCCAAGGTCAGCGCCCCCCACTCTCCCCAGCTCACCCTAGTTAGCTTTGCCGAGAAGAGTCCATCAGGATGCTCCTGGCCTCCTCGCCCCTCCCGCCCCCGTGGGCCTGTTAACCCGGAGCAGATTTGGGACGGGAAATGTGGCTAATATCTCTAGCAGCTGTCAGAGGAGGGACCTTCCTTCAAAGGGACTGGACAGGGATCTTCCACAAGTTCCCCATTAGTCTTGCAGACCAGCAATTTGATAAGGAGCCTGGACCTCCGCTGCAAGTTGCCACTGTGTTAGAAGGGCCGGTGTCTGGGTGTCTGGATGCCCGGAGTGGCCCTGGCTTCCCAGCCTCCGCCCCCGCCGCCCAGCGACCAGGGTGGGTGGGGACGTGCGTCGGGGAGCCTGGGACCAGGCCGGGCCGGGCCGGGGGCGCGCAGTCTCCGCTCTCACCTGGCCTGCGCTTTGCTGGGGTGTGTTAGACAGAGGTAGACGGACCTGCTTCAAATTGATGGGGGTGGGAGAGGGGGGCACCTAACAGCGGCAGTCATCAACCAGGGGCGTCGGGCGCGGTTGTCGAGCTCCCTCCGACGGGCCGGGGCTGGGAGGAAGCTGCGGCACAGGGGAAATGTGGGTCCGATGGGGGAGGCCGGTCGGCTGGTGATGAGAATGGAGACCGTCGGGGCCGTGTTTGAAGGGAGGTTTTAATATTAATAGTTTCGGTGTAGAGACAGAAGGGAGATTGCGTCTACGGCTCCTCGGGGCAGACTCTGGGTGACAGCGATGATGGATGATCCAGCAGAGCCCAACAGCTCCTCCCCTCCAGCCCCAACAGTGTCAAAGCTACTTTAGTTGAAGCTTTAGAAATAAAATAAATAAACAGCATCAGCCCCCCTTACTCTCCATACACCTCCACCCCCACCCCCCGCTTTCCGACATCGATTTATGGATCATTATGAATCAATTACTGCTCTCAATACTTTCCCATTGGCTTAAATAAAACAGTCAAAAGATGAAAACGTGGGGTTCGGTGAGGATTTTTTTTCTCCCCTGACAGGAACAATCGCAAAATCCATTATCTCATAATCAGAGGCACTGGGTTAGGAGGTGAAGAGAAAGGAAGGGGTCGCCCAGTACATAACTGGGGGGGGGGGGGGGGGGGGGGGGGGCGGCGGAGGGGGGGGGTTGCCCAGCTGCTGCCTTTGTTCAGATGGGTTCGGTTTGTTTGTTGTTTGGGGTTTTTTGAGCGGGGGGCGGGGTGGGGGACCCGCTTGAGAATAAGATGCCTACAGGTTTTGTAACCTAATTATTTAACTCCTTGGGAGAAACCTCTTTGCATGTGTGTCTCGGCAAACATCAGATGTTGTTGGTAGTGAGGTCGCACATGGGAAAAGGTGTGGAGGAACGGGTCCGTGTGGAGGGCGGATTTTCACTTTGTTGTGAGCAACTGTGCGAGGGTTTGCTGCTGGGAAGGGGGATTCTCCCTCCCGCACGCCCTCCTCTCTCCCCGCGGTTGGCTGTTTTTGTCGTTGGAACTGGTTGGGATCTGGGACCGGCCGCCCCCGGTCGCCCCCACCCCCACCTCGGCCGCCCGAGGCTTTTCTCCCCTCTCCTGCCCCTTCCGCGGCGGTGTCGAGGTTCTCTAGGTGTTTCTATGACTACATTGTGTGTGTGGGAGGGTCAGATGTGGGGGTTGCCCGCGAGAGGGCCGTTCCTGGGCGATCATTTATCAATGTCACCCACATAATGATTCTCTCTGCAGCCTCCTATTGATGAGGATAATTACATTAGCTCAGAGTGACTGATCAATGAAAAACCACCACACAAAAACTTCTTTACTCCTCTATAATACCAAAAACCGATACAGAAATAACATAGAAAGCCTGATTTTCTTTCCCTTCTCTGTCCACCAATGGATTCTGCCCCCTCCCCCCAAAAAGGACGGGAGAGTAAAGTAAGAAAATAGACCCAGGTTTGTTTCGTTTAAAGGAGGATGCAATTTTGCCCGTGAATGCATTTTCTCTAAATGTGTTGGCTTTATTCCTTCTTTGGTAAAGAATATCAACGGATTTACTGATGTGAGTTGCTTTTCGACTCGTCTATGGTTTTCCGTTCTGTTTTATTTCTTTCCTCCCCTTTGGGCGCTTTTTTTTTTTCTGCTTCAAAAAAAAGAAGACAATTCTTTTATAAATAACTGGAAAAGGAAATTAGTCTAGGTCCTCTTTTTTTTCTTAAGCGTTTGCCTAAGTCGGGTTATCTTTTGTCTTTATCACTTCATAAAGTAGCACAATTAAAGATGTGATGTTGCATGGGTATAAAGGGTGAATCCGTAATACAGCGACATTATATGCTATATTCTCGCCTGAAAGTTTGCAGCTAAATTACGATTTCGCTTTTTCTAGACTTAAAAATCAATATTTTCTCAATTAAAGAGAATTTTAATGCTTTACTTGCGAGTTGTTAAAGGCGCTGTAAATTTTATTGTAATGTTTCTTGGCTTCGGAGTAGATGCAGGAGGAGACCGGTTGATTCTCGTGGTCTTTTTCCTCTCAAAACAACCTAGTCCAGGAACATCCAGTGTGTCAGATCAAATCCAAGCAACAAAGGTAAGAAGGGTCCTGAGAGGGACGGGGCACAGGGTGGGGAGCCCTCCAGGGGAGCCCCCAGCGCCAGAGGCCATTGTCTTGTATATTTTCACCTCTCGGTGTCCCGCCTCCTGAAAGTGACAGAAGTGTCCATTTTACTCTAATCTTTCTCAAAGAGGAGCACGTTCGACTCCCATCTGCTCTGTGATGGTCAGAAAAGAAGCTGCATTTGGGGAGCATTCCAGACTCTTCCCGACGTCCCCCCTTCTCGCTTTCCTTTCCTTATTTCGCCAGAATTTAACTCGGAACTGGTTCTTTTACAAATTCTGCTGTATTTGCTATGTGTTCTGGC